CTCTGGCGCACGACATAGTCAAAAATCTGGCAGAAATTAGCCTCCGAAAGCTTTCCTGACCTTGGGTGACCTTTTTGACCTCACTTCATTTTGGGGCACTTCTCTCAATTGGAAAGTGTCCCAATTTTACTATGGCTGACCTTTGACACTTGGGAAGGCCGCACGGGTCTGAAACTCTTGACCGTGGATGAGCCTTTGCTCCTGAGACGCACACCCAGTTTTCAGACTCCTGGCTTAAAGCGTTTAGGAATTATGCTGAAATAGACAGTAAAAAAGAGGCCGTGTGTCAAAGGTCATGGCTGACCTATGACACTTGGGAAGGCCGCACGGGTCTGAAACTCTAGACCGTGGATGAGCCTTTGCTCCTGAGACGCACACCCAGTTTTCAGACTCCTGGCTTAAAGCGTTTAGGAATTATGCTGAAATAGACAGTAAAAAAGAGGCAGTGTGTCAAAGGTCATGGCTGACCTGACCCAAAAAAAAAGTGTCCCAAATTTACTCCTTCATTTTCGGACACTTTTGCCTAGAGAAAAGTGTCCCAAATTTACTCCTTCATTTTCGGACACTTTTGCGTAGAAAGAAAAGTGTCGCCATGCGGCGACCTTTGACCCCAGGGCTACCAGATTCGCAACAGAGGGTCCTCCAGAGCCACTGAACGATAATCTGTAAAAAAAAATCCCCAAAATCCTCTGGATTTTTTTTTTGCTCTTTTCCCATAAAATCCACACAGAAGCCTGTCAGACTCATGGCCTCTAACACCCTTTGGTCAGAGTGTTTATGTTGGAGGATTTTTTTTTCTAGAGGGCGCAGGAGTCTGAATTTTTTATATGTCGTTCGGGGGCTCTAGTCGAGCGGACGGACGTCCGAACCGTGCCGCTCGGACCTGTACTTTTCGATGGGCGGGGCTTTGATCGCTCGCCTTTTCCTCCCTTTGAGTGCTCGCCGTTGCCGCAAAAATGGACCGAACCACGTCAAATTTGGCCTGCGGCCCTCCCATGAGGCCCTGATCAGTCTCCCAGAGTCCCAACTCTGTAGACCAACAGCAAAGCCAAGTAGCTCTGTGGTGGTCGTATCGCAACGTGGCGAAAAGATCCTAGCTGAAGGTCCTCTGGCGCACGACATAGTCAAAAATCTGGCAGAAATTAGCCTCCAAAAGCTTTCCTGACCTTGGGTGACCTTTTTGACCTCACTTCATTTTGGGGCACTTCTCTCAATTGGAAAGTGTCCCAATTTTACTATGGCTGACCTTTGACACTTGGGAAGGCCGCACGGGTCTGAAACTCTTGACCGTGGATGAGCCTTTGCTCCTGAGACGCACACCCAGTTTTCAGACTCCTGGCTTAAAGCGTTTAGGAATTATGCTGAAATAGACAGTAAACAAGAGGCAGTGTGTCAAAGGTCATGGCTGACCTGACCCAAAAAAGTGTCCCAAATTTACTCCTTCATTTTCGGACACTTTTGCCTAGAGAAAAGTGTCCCAAATTTACTCCTTCATTTTCGGACACTTTTGTTCAGAGAAAAATGTCCCAAATTTACTCCTTCGTTTTCGGACACTTTTGCCTAGAGAAAAGTGTCCCAAATTTACTCCTTCATTTTCGGACACTTTTGTTCAGAGAAAAATGTCCCAAATTTACTCCTTCATTTTCGGACACTTTTGCGTAGAAAGAAAAGTGTCGCCATGCGGCGACCTTTGACCCCAGGGCTACCAGATTCGCAACAGAGGGTCCTCCAGAGCCACTGAACGATAATCTGTAAAAAAAAAATCCCCAAAATCCTCTGGATTTTTTTTTTGCTCTTTTCCCATAAAATCCACACAGAAGCCTGTCAGACTCAAGGCCTCTAACACCCTTTGGTCAGAGTGTTTATGTTGGAGGATTTTTTTTTCTAGAGGTCGCAGGAGTCTGAATTTTTTATATGTCGTTCGGGGGCTCTAGTCGAGCGGACGGACGTCCGAACCGTGCCGCTCGGACCTGTACTTTTCGATGGGCGGGGCTTTGATCGCTCGCCTTTTCCTCCCTTTGAGTGCTCGCCGTTGCCGCAAAAATGGACCGAACCACGTCAAATTTGGCCTGCGGCCCTCCCATGAGGCCCTGATCAGTCTCCCAGAGTCCCAACTCTGTAGACCAACAGCAAAGCCAAGTAGCTCTGTGGTGGTCGTATCGCAACGTGGCGAAAAGATCCTAGCTGAAGGTCCTCTGGCGCACGACATAGTCAAAAATCTGGCAGAAATTAGCCTCCAAAAGCTTTCCTGACCTTGGGTGACCTTTTTGACCTCACTTCATTTTGGGGCACTTCTCTCAATTGGAAAGTGTCCCCATTTTACTATGGCTGACCTTTGACACTTGGGAAGGCCGCACGGGTCTGAAACTCTGCAAGGTGATAACCCTAACCCTCCTATAAACCATACTGAAGTTTCAGACCCCTAGCTTAAAGCTTTCATGAGTAATTAATTGAAGAGGAGACAGTTTTCAGGAAATCACTTTGGAGACTTTTTATTAATTTATTAATTCATTTTATAATAAATAATAAATAAAAGTTACTATAAAACCCTAAACATTTCTAAAACATTTCTAAAACAATTTAATACTTAGTGCTTGTTAGTGCGTATGATCCCGAGCGCGTTTATGCCTGGCCACGCCCCCCCCCCGGTATTTAATAAGATGTTAAAGCGCAGAGCTCAGAAGGCAGGTAGACAGAGAACCAACACCTTTGAGGAATTAACAAGATTCAAATGTAAGTGAACAATGCATGACTTGAATTATTTACAGTTTATGATTAGACCGTTATTACGTGTGTGCTCTCCGTAGGCCTCGGCCTGTCCTCCGCTATGGACAGAATCTCCGTTTATTATTATTGCATTATTAATTATTGAACAATAACGGCGTGTCAGCTTCCTAGTTGGTGAGGATTAATTCATTATTACAAATATACAAGTTAATCCATTTACGTAATTACATGGTAGTGCGCATGGCCCCGAGCGCGTTTATGGCTGGGCACGCCCCCCCCGGTATTTAATAAGATGTTAAAGCGCAGAGCTCAGAAGGCAGGTAGACAGAGAACCAACACCTTTGAGTAATTAACAAGATTCAAATGTAAGTGAACAATGCATGACTTGAATTATTTACAGTTTATGATTAGACCGTTATTACGTGTGTGCTCTCCGTAGGCCTCGGCCTGTCCTCCGCTATGGACAGAATCTCCGTTTATTATTATTGCATTATTAATTATTGAACAATAACGGCGTGTCAGCTTCCTAGTTGGTGAGGATTAATTCATTATTACGAATATACAAGTTAATCCATTTACGTAATTACATGGTAGTGCGCATGGCCCCGAGCGCGTTTATGGCTGGGCACGCCCCCCCCGGTATTTAATAAGATGTTAAAGCGCAGAGCTCAGAAGGCAGGTAGACAGAGAACCAACACCTTTGAGTAATTAACAAGATTCAAATGTAAGTGAACAATGCATGACTTGAATTCTTTACAGTTTATGATTAGACCGTTATTACGTGTGTGCTCTCCGTAGGCCTCGGCCTGTCCTCCGCATTATTGCATTATTAATTATTGAACAATAACGGCGTGTCATCTTCCTAGTTGGTGAGGTTTAATCCATTATTACAAATACACAAGTTAATCCATTTACGCGATTATGTGTTAGTGCGTTGATCCCGAGCGCGTTCATGCCTGGCCACGCGCCAGGCCTGCTTGTGCCGAGCACGTGCACAGGCCTCGGCCTGTCCTCCGTTTATTATTATTGCATTATTAATTATTGAACAATAACGGCGTGTCATCTTCCTAGTTGGTGAGGTTTAATCCATTATTACAAATACACAAGTTAATCCATTTACGCGATTATGTGTTAGTGCGTTGATCCCGAGCGCGTTCATGCCTGGCCAC